AGGCGGAATGGCAGGTTTGAGGTGGCCAGCCTGGCGACGACTGCACTAATTGTAAGGAGACTGGCTTAGCGCCAGATGGACGAATTATTTCCATGGTAATGATCACTTCTGGATCACATCCTGGCTTCTGCCATCATGTTAGCTGTGAAATTCTGGGTATTCATGCCGGTGGGGATATGGAGAGATCCCAGTCAGTCACTAAGGGCACCCGGCAGAAATGTAATGTATTCCACATATTATAAAAAAATATTTCAAAATGTTAACAGTGATTATTTGCAAGCATGTATGGGTGATTTTCATTCTCTTGCGTAAGTGTTTCTGTTATGTAAGTTTCTATAATGCGAAAGCATAGGTAACAGTAATCTTGGGGAAAGGAAATATGTGAATGCCCCCAGGAGTGTTAACACATTAATGAGCCTTTGCTATGAACCAGGATTTGTATAAAGTATTTTACATAATCCTTCCCTCCCCCAAACTCAGGAGGCAGCCAAGATTATCAACCTCATTTTACACATGAAAGGAACCAAAATTTGGTGATATTAAGTATTCACTACAAGCTCGTATCACTAAAGTAGACAAACAGATTTCTGACCAGAGGCTGGGCTACTGCGGAACAGACATGCTTTCTTTATCACAGATGCTTAAGTACGTCACAGTACGATAATGGTCCTTTTGTCGGGTGCAAAAGTCAAGAGGTAATTTGAGGGTATTCAGTAAACATGGAATACATACCCATCTGAGCTGGGCACCAGAATAACATTATTAATAAGACATGGCCAGAATGAAGGTAGAGGGTTCAACAGACATTACTTTTGTTGAAACCCCCTAAAACAATTAGCAAAAGGAGTCCTTAAAGCCATACACCCACAAGGATGCGGGGGAGGGGGCGAGGAGATAACAACAAATGTTTGCCAATCATAAAGCAAATAAGCAGGCAGGTGAAGCCTGGACCCTTAGCTGGCAATGAGGAAAGCCATAAAGCAACCCAACCCGGGCTTGGCGATATTGCTTTGACCTATCAGAGCAGAGAAAGTGAAGTCCTGGGACTTCCAAGCACTGGCATTGAGCAGGCATGTCTGTTTTCACTATCTCCTTCTTAGAACCTCCCGCCATACCATGAGAAGGCCCAACCAGCTACGAGGAGAGACCTACATGGAAGAGAGTAGAGCCCTGTGCCTACCAACCCAGCTGAGCTCCCACCTCATGCCAGCCATGTGAGCAGGTCACCATGAACTGCAACCTCCACCTCTAGCTGGGCCATTCACCTGCTGTCCTGTGGAACACACACAGCTGTCTTTGCCAGGTGAGCTCAACCTGCAAAATTGTATCATTTTTATTTTAAGCCAGTAAGTTTCGCAGCCCAGCAATAGATAGATAGCCAAGACTGGGTGGAAGAAGGGAACTTGGATGTTAAATGCAGGAGTCCTTACACTGTTCCTCCTCCAGTCTGCTCCCAGAACACTGGGAACCATCCTTCACCTTCCAGTCAGAAATGAAAGCATCCTACTCTACATAATTGAACTAGTTGCGTCAGTTTTTTTGTCCCTAATGTGACAGAAAAACCCTCCATCTCAAAACATCTTAGCTTAAGACATCAATAATACCCTGATTCTATTGGCTGGTGGGCTTTGGTGGGTATTTATTCTGCTACATATCCACTCTTAAGTAGAAGTATTTAACCGAATCACAGCACATCTGGAAGAAACTTCTAATCTGAAAGATAGAGACACAAATCAGCAGGAAAGAGAAACTTGGTGAAAATAGATTATAAAGGGAAAGGACATGATTTTAAATGAACGGTGGGGAGATAGTGGTGGGGGAGATAATGCATCCATGAAATAAGAAACAGGATGTTCTACAAGAAGGAAAGATTAGTGAACTAATCAAAGTTCTTGGAAATTAAAGACATCATAGTAGAAATAAAACTTTTAGTAGAAATATTGGAAAATAATGTTGAATAAAAGAGTAGACAGAAAAAGAAATGACTGGTAAAAAAAAAGAAAAAGATGATCAACTTCCAACAAATAGCAGTTCCAGAAAGAAATAACAGGAAACAGAGGTAAGACATTATCAAGGAAACAATTCAAGAAAATGTCCCCAAACTGAAACACCCAAATTTCCAGGAAAATCATCATTCAAAATTCCAATAGAGGGCCTCCCTGGTGGCGCAGAGGTTAAAGACAGCGCTATCAAGCTACTGCCAGCCACTGCAGCAAGAGTTTGATCCCTGGCCAGCCAGGGAGCTACCCACATGGCGCAGCAGACCACTCCTGTCTCCCCCTTACTCCCCTCAACAGTGTATTTCAGTAGATCTGCCTGTTCTGCTCCCCACTCTGTCTCTGATGGATCCTCTCACCTCCCGTGCCTCTGACCTGTACCCCAGTTTGTATGCATAAATAAATAAATCTTTAAAAAAAATCCAATAGAAAACAGTCACACATAATCTTAAAATGTCATCACAGTATGGACAAAATGAAACTCCTAAATGCTACCAGTGAGGAAAAAAAAAAAGATATAGACAGAGGAGTAGGATTTGTGATGGCTTTAGACTCCTGAATAGCAACAACAAACTCTAAGAGATCATGGAAAAATGCCTTCAAATTTTAGAGGAAAATTATTTGCTATTTCTAGCCGCACAATCAAGTACAAAGGTAAAAGAATGACATCCCCTACATTTGTGACCTCAGAAAATTTACAGCCCATCATTGTTTCTCAGTAGGCTCCTTGGAGATATGCTTCACCAATAAAGAGTAAGACGTGGGATCCAAACAGAACAAAGGAGGAAGATTCCACGACGACACTGGAGAGATCACTTAGAGGACAGCTGGGCACCAGGTCTAGGGCAGCCAATCCACAGCTGGTCAAAAGGCCAAGAAGAGATTTCACAAAGATGAAACAGAATGGATCTCCTGCCTGCAAATCTTCAGAGGGAAGTTAGACAACTGGTGGCAGACCTGAGGTTGAGTTAATGATTAACACATAGAAAATTAGGCAATAAAAAATTATTAATTCTAGAGGAAATAAAATTTACAGAAAAAGTAAAGCAATTATAGTATACTACAGGGCTCAACTGTGTATAACATTTATGCAGTTGTTATAGATGTTTTTGCACCTGTGTACATATTTTTCTAGCATTTCTAGCTCTTTGTAATGAAAGCGGTAACAAAGTAGATTATTATTCCCTAACAATGGAGCCAGAAGACTTACATTGTCCTCTAGGGGATACTGTAGTTCAAAGGAGCGGGGAGACCTAGGCTAGAGAAGCAAGGGAAATGTTCCTGGAGGAGTTTTAAGTCTTATAGTGTATCTTTGAGGTTGGTTAATATTCCCCCTAATGATAAACTCTCTGTATCCACTATGGCAGTTTATCTCACAATCTCACAAAAAACAAATCTGCATGTGTAGTTTCTGAAGGCACCCTTTTTAGCGTGCCTCTCTCTGCCCTGTATTTTGGGTATATCCAACTCTGAGATCAATTATTTGTCCTCTTGAGATGATTAAACCCAGGTGCTCATGTTAATGAATTTTTTTTTAAACGTTTTATTTATTCATACAAGCACTGGGTACAGTCAGAAGTACGGGAGGGTGAGAGAATTCACCAGAGCCAGAGCGGGGAGCAGAGCAGGCAGAAGGACCGAAGTACACTGCTGAGGGGAGCAGCGGGCGGCAGGAGAGGTCTGCGCGCTATGTGGGACCCTCGCAGGCAGTGGGGGATTGAACCGGCGCTGCAGAGGCTGCGGGCAGCTTCGCAACCCAGCGCCCAACCGCTGCGCCACCGGGGAGGCCCATGTTAATGAATTAAAGCTAAAATCTAACTGTGCGTCAGGTGGAACAATCGGAAGTTATGGGAATATTTGCAAGCCCTGCCAGAAGAGCTTGGCGAGCAGACAAAAAGTTATTCCAAAGGGTAATGGGAGTCAGAAAATAAAACATGACATAGAAATAAAGAATAAGGAAGAGTGACTGAAGTTAGGACATAGACAAAAGCATCAGCAAACATGGGGAGTCTGAGAATATTTGAATGTGAGTTGATCCTTAGACCTGGGAACCCTTCTATAATACATCTTCCTCGGCCCATATTCCATACTTTAGATTCAGTAGTTGGACCCTCACAATCTTTGGGCAAGCTTCCCTCAACGTTTGCAAGATCAAACTTGCTTGGATTCAGATTCACGCATCTGTGGATTCAGGTGGAAACATGTCGACATCATCCAGAACAGCTATTTCTTCACTCACTATTGGGAAAATTCACAAGAGGAAATGACACCATCTTTGGCTGAAGAGCCCACAGAAGACATTCTGCTTCGGGAGTTCTTATTCCTCACGCTAGTGTTGTGCTGTGTAGAGGGTGGAACTCCCTGGCCAAGACAGCACGTCTGTCTAGAGCCTGCGGGAGTAGGCATCTCATTTTCGGCATGAGCCTTTATTATTTAAATGTAATAGTTATCATGGCATCACTCGTGGGAGTAGTGTACCACGTTTTTGCCGGAAAGCAAGTGGACGCCGAGGCCTGGAGCTGTCCGTGGTGCTGACGCGGAGCCCGGCCCGGCTCGCCCTGCCCCGCCGCGAGGCGCTCAGCCGGCCCCACACCCCGGATCCTTTCCGCCGCCGCCCCCCGTTTCTCGGGTCTTCACGCGAGCGGGGGCGAGGGTGGCCCCTGATGTCTTTGTCCTGGAAGGCAGATGACCTTGGTGGGCTCTTCCCTCCTCCCTGCGCCTGGGCGGCAGCAATGGGCGCGGCCCCCTCGCCTCCCGGGCCCCTCGGCAGGGCGGGACCGCGCCTCCCTCCCGGGGCCTGCTGCCCGCGGTGTCGCGGGGCGCCCGGAGCGCGCCCCCACCTCCCTCGGCGCCCCCCCCGCGCCCGCTCCTCCCCCTGCGCGGTCCCGCCCCGCGCGCCGGCAGCCCCGTCCCCGCGCGGGCGGAGCGAGGGGGCGCGCGGAGCCGCACAAAGGGCGGAGCGGCGGGGGGCGGGCCGCGGGCTCCGGCGGGCGCGGCGCGGGCATGGACGCCGAGTACCCGGCCTTCGAGCCCCCGCTCTGCAGCGAGCTCAAGCACCTGTGCAAGCGGCTCCAGGAGGCGTACCGCGAGCTGAAGGAGGACCTCACCCCGTTCCGCGATGACCGCTACTACAGGTAGGCGCGGCCGCGGGCCGGGGGCGGCGGGGGGGGGGGTGTGGGGCGCAGAGCCCCGGCTTCCGGCGACGCCGCCCCGCCGCCCCTGTGCTGCGCCCCAGCCCAGCCTCGGGTTTGGCGGGGTCCGACCTCCGCCGCCCGCGCCTTCTGGCCGCGCCGAGCCCCGGGGAGGTGCCAGGACGGGTGGGAGGGGCGGGCGCCCCGGGTCTGGCTGCGGCGCTCGCGTTCCGGGGGGTCAAGGGCAGATCTGGGGACGAAGATCCCGCTCCTTGGAAACCTGAGCCGAGATCGCCAATCCCGAGAAAGCGACCCGCGGGGGTCTCGTCCCTGCTTGGCCCCTCCCTCGCCCTTCTCTGCCTGCCACCCCGCTGCCCCGCCCCACCCGCACCCTCCGGCCTCCCGAGCGCCCGCCTCCGTGTCCTCGCTCTGGCCTTGCTGAGTCCCGGTTTGGGGAGACGTCCCTCCCGCTCGAGTCCAGCAGAGCGTCACCTCCCGGAGGTATGCGGACCCCGGGCTTTGCTTGATGTCTTTGAGGCTGGGGTTCTGCCGAGGCTTGAGGAGGTGCTGCGGAGCTGAACTCGTCGCCGTGGAGCTGCAAGGGGGAGCCGCGGATGGGCACCCCGCGCCAGGAGCTGTTTGTTGGTCTGGGCTTGTCTGTCTTCCTCTCTCTCCTCTCGTGTAGCCAAGGCAGAGCTGCAGGTAGCTGCAGACCCTTGAGAGACACCCACCCCTTCCTCCCGGTTCTTGGTTCTTCTGGTGGCAAAATGCGCCCATGACCGGTGGCTGGACTTACCTCGTGTATCGTGGTGTGATGAAGAGACACCCAGAGGGAATCCAGAGCTTGGACCCTGGATTGATTTCGTGGCGAACTAGGTCCGTGACCCTGAAAAAGGCCCATTTACTGCACCTCAAGCCTCCTGATCTGGGACGTGGGGAGCTTGGACCAGGAGGCTTTTGAAAGTGGAAGCGTCTAGTAAAGATGCCCTCACTCTGTGCTTAAGGGTGGCAAGTTGGTGCACGGCTGTCTTGGAAGGGGCTCTAGTGTTTTTGTTCCACCCTCCTTCGGCAAATGGTCTCTACACACACTCCAGCTCTGAAGAATGTGTGTCACGCTTATCACGAAATCTTTCAATAGCCCAATGGAATCCTGATCAGTATATTTGCTCGTTGACCAATATATGGGTTACAATTACTGAGTAGAAAAGCCCATTAAAAAATAACAACCCAAGATCATATCATGCGTCTGTTGAAGGTGTCTCCCAATCTAGCTAATGCAGCCTCCTGGGAGAACTGACAGGTTAAAAAAAAGTTTCAAATCTTATTTTGATCTATATCCCAATTTTCTTTCTCACTAATTCCCCACCTGATGGGTTTTTTTTTCCCTCTCTATTTTTTTTCTCTGGGAATCTTTTTTTAGCAAAGGAGCTGGTGACTAGAGAAACGGTCTTGGTGCAGGTGGCAGAGAAGAAAGACACATCCCTGCGTAATTCACACGGGGACCACTCGTTATTCCTTCACCCCTTTATTCAGCTAAGAGATACTGAGCACCTCCTCTGCCCTGCTGCCATTCCAGTTAGGGACACAGGGATGAACAGACAGACAGGGTCCCACTGTCATGGGCACTTAGGTGGTAATAAACAAGTGACTGCCTCCCATGATGAGGGCGAGGACGATGACAAACCAGGTGACGTGATGAGGAGTGGTGGGGTGCTGCTTCAGAGGGGGTCGCCAGGCAAGTGTCTTTGAGAAGGTGACATTTGGCTGAGAACTGATGAATGAACTGCTCACTAGATAATGAGCTGGGGGAGGAAAGTTCCAGAAGAGGAAGGACAGGTGCAGAGTCCCTGAGGTCATTAAAAACATAGCATGTTCAAGGAACAGATGACCAGGGTGCCTAGAGCAGAAGGGTGTCTCAAGCAGAGGGGTACAGGCCTTGAAGACCAGACTAAGGGCTGTGGGTATCATTAGAACCCCATTGTGTGGGCCTCCCCTGTGGCGCAGCAGTTGAGCGCCGGGTTGTGAAGCTGCCTGCGGCCTCTGCAGCGCCGGTTCGATCCCCGGCTGCTCCCTGGCCACCAGAGGAGGGTCCCACATGGCGCGCAGACCTCTCCTGCCGCCCGCTGCTCCCCTCAGCAGTGTACTTCGGTCCTTCTGCCTGCTCTGCTCCCCGCTCTGGCTCTGGTGAATTCTCCCACCCTCCCGCGCTTCTGACTGTACCCAGTGCTTGTATAAATAAATAAATAAAAATAAATCTTTAAAATTAAAAAAAAAAAGAACCCCATTGTGAAGTCACTGGAGGGTTTAAGTAGGGGAGCAACATGAGCCCTCTCTTTCCTACAGCAGTCATTTAAACCTTTGCTCCAGGAACAACTTCATTTGTTGAATTGCATCCCAAAGACTAGCTCACCCTGTCTAGAAGGGGAGAGTAACAAATGTACCCCCTGCCCTGAGAACAAGCTGGCTGCCAAATGCTTCACAATATTCTGTGTGTGCGAAGCAGTTAGACTGAATCCCAAAGCCTGCTTTAGAGCAAGAGGTTTGAGGTCACTGAATGATCTTCCACTGCTCTGTTGAATTTTTATGTCAATGTGTTGTGCCTTACAGAACTAGGTGAACTACTCTTGGGTTTCTAAGTTGGGAAGCTGAGAGTTACAGCTCTTGCATCTGTCTAGCTAGAAGATGAACTTGCTACTATAATTATTGCTCCTACTCTTCTCACCATCTTCACATCCTCATTAGTTATGAATAAAAGAATAAAAGACACCAGTCCCTTTCCCCTGGAGGACTGGGGACTCCCCTTCTGTGCTTGACAGTTTCCCCATAATAGGGTGCCACGCGGAGACAGTCGCTAAGGCTGTTTCCAAAAGACAGTTGGCCCCTCCTTAGCTGAGCTGGCCGTTTGCATCACTAAATTTGGTAATTTGGTGACATCACTGGAAAGCAGCAGCGATGTGGTCAAAGGCTTACCGTCCTTTTCACAAAATGAAAGACGGCAGTTGCATTGCCTGCAGGGAAAGAGGGAGACAGCATGGGCAGGTGGAACAGCTGGAGGCTGAGCAGTGGATTCCTGGGTTCTAGTCCTCACCCTACCCTTTGTCAACGCTGTGACTTTGGGGGAAATCATGACCATTCCTTGGTGATCAGTTTTCACACTAGAAAAATGAAGGATGGATGTTGTGAGGCTCAGGTGCTTTATGAAGACGCTTTCTGATCCAGACAACAGAAAAGCAAAGCATCAGTCTGAATAGTAAGGTCACAGGTTGAGTTGTTTATCCAGTGGCTTAATGATGTCACTGCGTTCTTGTAACTTGGTAGCAATCGGCTGCTGTTGACCACTAATGATTTTTCAGGCTATTGCTTCTCATTCATCCTCATGGGGAGGGCTAGCTGGTATTCTATATGGCTCCCAAATGAGAAGGAATAACCGATGTCCAGAGCCAACTCGAATCTCCTCTCTGCCTCCTCCAAAACAGTAGCAGAGAAGACAGACATGTGTTGACGGAGACGGGGCTTCCTGTGTTGCCTATGGGAGCTTAACTTGCTACAATCACTATGGAAAACTGCCCGGCACTATCTATTAAAATTATACGTAGATACCCTTTGATCCTGAAATTCCTCTTTGGCACAGACCCTGCAGGAGTGCATACATATGTCCATACATAGGCAGGTACTACAATGCCCATAGTAGCGTGACTCATAGTACACGTAATGGAAACCAATCCAATGCCCATCAACAGTAGAATGGATACATTTGGCTTATTTCATAATGGAATATTATGTAACAATAAATGGAAACAGCTTAGAACAATAAAGACAATAAAGACAAGTGTCACATATATAAAAAGTGAGTGAAAAAAACCAGACTCTAGGAGTGCATATTTTTCTTTCTTTTTTTTTAAAGATTTATTTATTTATGCATACAAGAACTGGGGTACAGGCCAGAGATGTGGAGGGGGGTGAGAGGATTCACCAGGGACAGAGTGGGGAACAGAACAGGCAGACTGACTGAAATACACTGCTGAGGGGAGCAGCGGGCGAGACAGGAGAGGTCTGTTGCGCCATGTGGGTTTCTCCCTGGCCAGCCGGGGATCGAACTTGTGCTGCAGAGGCTGCGGATTGCTTCATAGTGCGGTGCTTAACCCCTTGAGCCACCACGGAGGCCCCAGGAGTGCATATTTTTTGATCCCACTTACATGGGAAAGTGTGTAACAGGCAGATTGACTCCCAATACTGTTGAGAGTGGGATAGTGGTTAGCCCTGACAGCGCCATGACCCGAAGGGGCAGAGGAGGGTTTCCTGGGTGCTGGGAATGTTTTCTTTCTTGATCTGGGTGCTGGTGCACAGCAGGTCAGAGTCTGTGAACTTTGGTCAAGCTTATACACAAGGAGCGTACTACTCTGTGTGTGCGCGCACTTCGATAGAAAGCCGAAGCCAAAATCAGCTTGATTGTGTCTCTTTGATGAACTCAGGGACCTCGCCCTTTCCAGCACGTACAACTCCGGGGGGGGGGGGGGTTGGAATCAGACACAGGCACACCGGAGCCCCCAGGAGCCATCTCCCTTAAATCATCGGTCTTCAGGAGAGGAGGCCTGCGCGCTGGCCAAACTGGGGTTTTGTTAGGAAAAAGATGTGCAGGCCGTCAGCCACGTTCCCGGCAGGAACAGTAAAGGGTTTCGGTGCCTGAAGAGTCGTTCTTCTAGAATTCAGCTCTCAGAGTTTGTGGTTGACCATTTTGCTGATCCAAGCTTGGTTTCTCATATCGTTACTTATCTCTGTAAAATATAAGAGCAATGGAGTTGGGCTTGAGTTTTCTTTTTCTTTTTTTTTAAAAAGAAGGAAAGACATCTATGTATGTATGTATGTATTTATTTATTTGTTTGTTTGTTTATACATACAAGCACTGGGTACAGTCAGAAGCGCGGGAGGGTGAGAGAATTCACCAGAGCCAGAGCGGGGAGCAGAGCAGGCAGAAGGACCGAAGTACACTGCTGAGGGGAGCA